CAAACAATGAACAGCATACTGCCGGCAAATAAAATAATTCTTTTCCCCAAAACACTGAGTTTTTACTGCTTAACAGAAAACCCACTGTCTACTCACTGGATTTTATACAGAGTGATTACAGAAAAAAAAAAAAAAGTTATCAGATTTTCAGTTTTCAAGTAATGAAAATAAGAAAATCAGAAGATGGAATCATTTCTAAATCCCTAGAGAAACTATTCGATGTCCTAAATCCTTTACAAAAAGGCAACTTCTCCGTTTCAACAGTGGGCAAATGTTTGCATTTAAGAGGAACTAAAAATGGAATCTATACACACACGCACACAAATGCTAATATGCTCATTAAGAGTACCCCAGAATTACAAAGAAAAGCATTCTCTACCACCTCTTACAACACACAGCCAGCCCCAGCTGCATAGTTTTGCTTTACAAGATTTGACCTTTCTTACAGAAACTCCTTTATAGTGCCAGAAGGCTGCATGTATACTAGATAAACTGGATACTTTCAAGTAAAAGAACTACTGAAATTACACTTAGATATTTTTTTCAAGGGACAGAAGCGGCATACTCATTTTAAAAAGAAATACAATACCAGACTACCAAAATTACTTAACTGATGACAACTTGGGTGAACAATCACCTGTGCTTTCTTTTTCATTCGAGGATATCAAAGGAAGCTACAACTTATACAAAGCTGATTTGTGTTAATAAGGATAATCTTATGAGGGCTCTCATAAACTGCACATACATAATGGTACAGAAGAACAGCATTAATCTCTCAGCTTACCGTTCTAAAGTACTAGCTGCACCTCTTAGAAACACATATTATTAGACAGTCTTTTCTTTTAATCTTTGTAACAAAAACATCCAACATGAAAAAACTATAGGTTGAGAGCAAACATTAAAACACACCTTCAGCTTTTTTTTTTACCAAAAAAAAAAAACAACAGTGTTGAGATAGCTCAGTTTATGCAAATTAGCTATTCACTAGCAGCAGCAATAATGATTTATGAAGTATGAAATTGGAATTACAAGGATTATGGATTTAAATAGAACTAGTTTGAAAAGTTATCTACTGAAATCCAGAAAATTGCTTAAACAATTACTAAGATTACTGAATAAGGCTTGAATTGTATAAGCAAAAACACTGCTTATGTTGTGTCTGCAAACTCAGCTCTTATACAATAGACTGAAGACCTAATACCTAGTCTATTCACACTCAATAAACACTTGTTTAGACCCCGATTCAGAGAACTTTGATTTTTAAATTTACCTTTGAGCATTTATGTATGATCTCACATGACCTTTTAAGGCAAGTTTAAAGAAAGAAATGCGTTCTCATAAACTTCCTCTTTCACGAAAACATGCAGTCCAAAGGACTGCACATTCTCAATGGTGTCTCATTTACTTTGAAATGGTTGCTCTTGACATAAATGTTCTTTGATACAAATACTCCAAACCCTGTGAAACCTAAGAGACTGAAATATTAGAGTATATTTACAGTGTTATATAGAAGCTGTGAATACCACTGTATTCCCAACTGCCACTGGTCTCTGGTCCTCCCAGTTCAGATTTAAGATTAGGCTGAACAGTGCAGTCCTAGTAGAAAACCTACATTTTCATTAGTCTCTACCTCCCTCTCAACCAGTTGGAAAATAAGTATAACTCACAGCCCAGCAATTAGTTATGAGCTAAGTTTCTGCACAAGCAGACTGAAGAAAGAAAGAAATGGCACCTCATTAAAAATAACATAAAGCATCCCATTCTAAAACTCTGCTAAGAAGCAACTTGAGACAGACTCAAGGCTAAGCAGTTAAGACACTTAAAATGAGAATACCCTGAAAATACTTCTAAGTTCAGACAAAGCAAAGTAGAAGAGATGATACAGGTTACAGAAGTTAAATAGATGTACTAGACATTGTTAACTTAAATACACATAAATAGATCAAATAAGAAACAATAGTATAATTCTTAATATTTCTCAATTGTCATCTTATTCTTCATAGCCAGATGGAAATGTGAGGAAAAAAAAAAACAATCCTATTACAATTATTCTTGAAAAAGTCTGTATTTTACCATGTCTACCAAATACTAGTTGCAAGACCAATTAATAATAAAATTTAGAAGATAGTCTATTTAATATAGTACAGCGTTACATATACTTAACATTAAGAACTAATCACTTATTCCTACAATGCAAGTAAAATTGTTATAGATATCAGTTAATACTGCCTAATCCAAATTTATCAAAATAAAAATAGTACCCACAATTTGTGTCAAAAAAAAAAAAAAAAAAAAAAAAAAAAGAGTCAAATGCAATAAACGGCTATAATTAAATTGAAACAGGTAAGATACATTCTCTTTTCTTGGGGTATGTAACACCAAAACAAAAGCCTTCTCACAATTGAATCAACTGAAAATAAGTTTATGCAAAACACATGGAAATTCCCTTAAGAGCAACAAACATACAATTCAACAGTCTCTAATTGCACTTGTTGATTATAACTGTACACAAAGATGATTACACACTGCTAGGTAAGTGGGCTTGCCAATTTATTGCAAAACAAAATTAAATTGAATAAAATATTCAGAGATATTAAGATGAGAGAACTGTGAAATGAACATATTTTCAAACTATTCATTTTTTTCCCCTCTGAATTTTAAAATATTTACACCAAGTAAATATACAAAGAAATACACAAAAGAGACACCAAGTATCTGGTCATCACTGTTAAACCATACCACAGAGAAGTTCTCTCCATAATCAGATAAAATCTTTCCTTTCTAACAACGAAGGTAGCTGGGAATCTGATACAACTTGGAGGTGTCTACTATGTCTTCCAACACTTCTCATTTTGTTACACCACCTCAATGTATTAGTCTCGTTAAAGAATTCAGCAGATTTCAGAAAAAGAAACAAGCAAGGTATCAAGACTGAAGTTTCTCTTCCACAGTTAAGCAAAAGGCAATACTAGTGAAATGAAAAATAATTAAAAAAAAAAAAAAAAAAAGGCCAGTACAGGAAGGCTAAACAATCAGAACTAAAGAGTTTAATCAGAGATAACTTTATAATACGATAACATATCTTTCAAATTTGTGTTCTGTAGAAAAGTAAAAGACTGGAGAGAACTGAAAGACACCCTAAAAATTCAAACAGAGGAACAAAGTATTTACCAGATAGGTAGCCATAATTCCTCTGCAGTGGAATGTTATACTTTCCCAACATACTAGCCCATTCAAAGTAAATTTTAGCTGTGTGTTATATACTATCATGTGCGTTAACAGGGGAGGTACCAGATCCCCATGCAGCACCAGTGACAGATCACCACAGTGAAGGATGCACTTAAGAACAACTACACAAACTTCTCTGCACTTACCACAGAAGAAACTGGGCCAGTATCACATAAGCAGAGTAATAAACTCACATGATTCCAGTTTGGTTTGGCCTAGTTCCATGACTAATATGAGAGAAAATGTGCTACAGGCAAGACAGCTAGGAAGCACTCACCGCAGAGACAAGCAAAAAGAGAACAGTCTTGTGACTCTCAGTCAGTTTTTATCTTTCCCTCTCAGTGGAAAATGGAAATGGAATAACGAAGTCTTCTGAGAACTGTAGTTTCTACTCTTCTGAGAAAGGTACACAGAACTACTGTCAATCCACAGAACTACAGCATTAGCTCTAACTCCCAGTACAGTACACGATGTCATGACATGGAATGCCAGTAACAAAAATCATAAAATCACAACATAGAGCAAGATTGCTTTCCTATAGATACACATACTATGCCTTCTATTCACCCTTCTATTACTAGATAGAATGCCTTTCCTGCAATACTTTTAGTTTTATTTCCCATAATCATGAATCTCTAACCCCTACCACTATATTAGGTTTAGACATGGGAAAGAGAAGAAAAATGAGAGATGTTAAGAGTTCAATAAACAGGAAGAACAGATTGTCTCTCTTCTGTATGAACACGACTGCAGTCAGTCTAACTCATCCAGACTACTGTTAAGAACCTAATGATTATCACATGTAAGAAAAAAAGGGAATTTTCAGCCAATGAGAAGAAAGGGAACAAAAAAAGGTTTCTGCTCTGTAGATGCTCAGTTATTCATAAAATTTAATTTCGTGAATAGTCCAAATAGTTACAGCTAAATTAATTGTTTTGGCTTGAGTAAGGAGTTGGACTCATTGATTCTTATGGGCCCTTTCCAATTCAGGTAATTCTATGATTCTACAATTCTATTCTTAAAGCTCTAAGCCCACACAAAAAACTTTGTTGCATGAGTAGAACAAAATTTTAAGCAGTAGAGCACTAGAAAAGCACAATGGAATACAGAGATTAATGTTAAATTCTACTCTCAAGTAAAAAAAAATTTAAGTATTTCTTGAGCCTAAGAAGCAACAGTTCTTCTAAAAAAAAAAAAAAAAATAAAGCAAGCAAAAAAAAGAAACCCAAAACCCATTACCAAACAAAAATGAATGAAAAAAAACTCACAGCACCATCCAGCAGAAAAGTTAAGAGCAAACACAGTGACAAGGAAGTGACACACAAGGTCTTGTGATAATTTATGCAGTGAGTTTGGAGGTTATTCACACACAAAAAATAAGTTACTTTTCAATTGTAACGTATATCTACCTGAGCATATGAGAACAAAGTGCCTGCACTATTAAGGCAAAAAAACACTTGTAAAGGATAAGCTTAAGTGCAAATAGAACTTTCTGTTTTTCTGTAATTAACAAGGGCCATAGAGAGCAAGATGACTGGAAAAGCTTGCACAACTCTTCAGTTCAGAGTTCTGTATCACACATGATTATTTACTTTAGCAAAACTGCATTTTCAACACACATAATAAAGTCTTATTCAACATTAGACTTAAAAATTATTATATCCATATTTTTATAAAGTTATTATATAATATTCAAGATGCCCAAAACATAAGTTATTTTAAACAAAACTATTATGAATACAAAGTATAACAACAACTCAGCTATTATTTACCGTATTTCTGATTGGAATTTTCTTCGGTTCTGGTGGCACATCCTGAGGAACAAATTTCACTGGTTCCTTAATCTGCCTCCGTGATCTTTTGGTCCCATCTGGTAAGGTTTCCATGGCAATATCAGCTTCCATGTCACTGCTACCTGCCTGGTCACACTCTGAGCACTGCCTGCAAAGTGAAAGATTTTTTATTTAAAACTGCAGTCACAAAAGCACAAAAACAAATGTTTTTGAGGAAGAAAAAAAAAAAAAAAAAAAAAAAAAAAAAAAGGGTTTGGTTTCAAAGAAGTTAGTAGAGCCAATAGCAACTAAAAGAATCTCTCAAAGGCATGATAATTTACTCATCTGTGCATAAAAACAGCAAAATGCTCTGTTGCTGTGCTGTGCTTTTTTTTTTTTTCCCCCGACAGTTCTTGTATTTTGAAAAACCAAGATTTTAGAAGTAGAATAAAATCTTGTTTCAGTATTCAAATTCTACCATATCCCTACTTTTAACTGTATTCACTCACTTGTAATCTATCAATTATTGAAAACGCTGCTGTAGTTTAATCTCTACAATGATACATTGATGACATCATTCTGATGAGAGTGGTCTTCAGCAGCAGGGATTTAGAAAAAAATATCCACTTTGAAAATCAACTGTAAAATCTATTTCCTAAGGGAGAAGATTTAAATCTAAGAAAAAGTTATGCATTAAGAATCTTTGAACGATATGTTGAAAAAATATGCCTGTTGAATTTCTGAGAAAGTACCTAATCACAACCTGAACTTCAAAGTATACCTTGTCTGAGGAAATGCTATTTACAAGCTCCAAGACAGGAATAACAAGACGGGAAGTCATCAAGTTTTGTTCTCATTTGCAGAAATGATTCATTTTACACAAAGTCATAAAAGCAGATGGTAACTAAAAATACCATGAATATAGATTTTCATAAATGAATATAAATTTTTCATAAATGAAAATTTTAAAAAAATGATATCCCGATGGAGGATGGGTAAACTGATGATAAAGGATTTGCATTTTTTCCTCACATATACTTTTCAATTCAAACTATAAAGCCTCTCAAGCAAATTCTAATTCATCACTGCTTTTGTATATTCAAAATATTTCTTTAATTGTATTAACTAAAAAATAAAAATGTCCTGCTATTGATTAGCATTAAAAGCGATACATACATTATCTAAATGAAGTTGCAAATAAGCTCTGCAAGGAGACAAACCAAAATAAATGTACTTCGTTATTTGTAGTTAAATATTAATAAACACTTGAGAGAAATCATGCCCATCACGCAACAAGCTAAAAGAACAAGTGTTGTGTATGTACTGATTTCTTCATCTATGAATAGTCAACAGAAACAGTTTTGCTCCTGTAATTTCAATTCATGTGATCTTAAAAAGCTAACAGTCTTGCCTTTATTTGAAATGCCATTGCTGATTACTGGTATATTGCTTTTAGTCCAAATTCCAATTCCTGTTCAACTCAACAGAAGAGTACCACAAATACTACATACAAAATGCCTTTATACTGCATTTTTAACAAAGGCGATTTCTGATATATGTTTCCATATATATATATATTTTTTAACATACCAACTAAAAAAAAAAAAAGCACAAAAAAGAAGTCCATCCCACTGATGGTCTTACAGTCTATTCCAATAGGAATCAAATCAAATTAAACAACTAGCTACACCTACAGCTACAGGCAATAGCAGGCTGCTAGACAAACCAGTGGCTGATAAGTTAAATTGCAGAGGGTCTAATCCTGGACTGAGGAGTCATTACTCGTGTGACCTTGGTGAAATCAACAAATTTCTGCTTTAATTTTTCCATGTGTAAAATTCAGATAATTGCTGCTGCATTATAATGTTATGAAGATTAATCTTATCGTTAACGCACTTCAGACCACTAAAAACAGGCCACATGATAGTGCTAGTGGCATTTACTGATCTAGAAAAACAGAAGTACTACAAGGCAGACAAGGCAGGAAAGTTATCACTGTATGAAGATTTCATTAACAAACCACAAGAAAGTCAGCCCTTCATTGACACTACAGCATCAGTCACATTTATATGGAAAGCACAACTAAAATCATTTGATATGATCTGCTTACACTGACGTAAGCAATAGATGTGAAACTGTTCCTAAAGTGCTATTCTGAGCAATTCTCACAAAAAAAAAAAAAAAAAAAAATCCCCAATATTATGGTAAAAGCATGTACTGTACGTAAAATAAATAAATAATAATAAAATAACCATGAAACAACTATAATTAAAGAACTGCATTAAAAATGTTCTATAAAAGAAAAAGCAGTGATAGAGATCTTACGAAAATGTCTGGAGCTGGGAACCTAGCCTGTTGAATCTGACATTCTGTATCATTAACATTCCCATTGTTTAGCTGTAAACTGCTAAAAGGAAAACACATGTTACTCTTCCCTCCATACGCTCAGGCAATTGCACAGAAAACAAACTATGTAGACCTGTAAGGTACTCTAATTTCACCAGGGCCCTATTTAAACACAAATATGTTACTGTAATTTTGATGGAGAATAAGCATTTAATCCAAAAGCAAAGATACTTCCTGCAGGTTTCTGAAATTCCATTTCTACAACAAAGCTTATTCTGAAACAGGTGGTAAAAGTCTCACAGCAATCAAAGAAGAAAGGAAGTTACACAAAAAGAAAGCTGCAAAACCACAGCATGTTGGGAGGTAGGGGGTAAACACAGAACAAAACCTTACTAATACACCAAAGATGAAGAGGAAAAAAAGTTACAAACACGAACTTCCAAGGAAACTCTTAATTTACTGAAATAGCCTCTACTATCACAGGTAACTACATCTTATCAACTCTTTTATAAAGCAGTCAAGCTATAAAGTTGTTTTGTTGTTAGCTCCCAAAGGATCCACAGAAAAGCTATTACAGAAATACAGTCTTCTATGTTGGAAACAACCTTCTTAACTTTCAGTTCCTATTATGGTTTATTTCAACACGGTTCTTGAATTTAAAGCACTCTTTTTTTCCATTCTGCTATTTAATCCCAATATATTCACAGAAAGCACAGAACTCCCATTCCTTCTCTGGCAATACTAAAGTCATGTTCATTTTATTTTGTCTCTTCAATGACAATCAGTGAATTGAGAACCTATCACAACAGGTCATCTTCCCATCTGTTCAGACTATGTCTTAATTAGCAAGTATTGCTATGCAGCACAAGTAATTTGATAGGAACAACAGTGCTGAAGATTCTATTTCTGTACATGGCTTTTGTTTTGCTTTTACTCTGGATTTGCTTAATCTAGCCTCAGGGAAAATCAGTAGTTAATGTAATAATCTTCTGGACTCATCTGAAAAGAATGCAGTAACCATGTTCCATGGTCCGCAATGCGAACTGCAAAGCAGCAAGTGATTTACTCCAAGCTGCACATTAAAATGTTGAAATAGATTTGCCCCCTGTAGAAAACTGGAGACCATAACTGAACATAATGTTCTGGGCATACTATCCATGTCTTACACCAAAGCACCACAGCATGGCTTAACAGAAGCTTCCTATATTTCAGATGTGATTTTCTGTTCTTTTTTAAACTTACTGTAAAAATTCCTGTAGTATAAGTAAGGTAAAATCCATTACATTATTGGACATCAACTAAACATGACAAGAGATTTGACAGCCAAAAAAAACATTTTCAACATAAAAACCTACTCAACAGAAGTATGACTTCCTTAAATGACCATTAAATACATAATTCTGAGAGCTTTCACACTGATAATAATGCTGCTTTCTTGCTTCCTTTTATGTGAAAACAACTAAAAAAAAAAAAAGGCTTCTACATCTTTTCAAAGGCAAATACAAATGCCAAATTTAAACAAAAGTTAAATGAAGGTACTGCAACATTTTATTCCCATGAGTAATGGCATTAATTCAAATCTTCAGACATCTGTTTATGTATTGGTCATACAAAAAACATTTCCTTTCATCAATAAAGATAACACTACCATGGTATTATTACAACCACCATAACTTCATGATGCAGATACAAGTTGTTGTTTTTCATACCACAAAACGTTTTAAGTCTCATGAAAACATTTTACTTTAGGGTAAGCACCTTAAGACCAAAGAGTGCTTTCTTCTTGCAAAGTTTTAGGAAATAGAGCATGAATATATATTTTAACCTTGAAATAGATAAAAATGAAAAACTTAAGGCCTACATTACCAATAAAACAAGGCCTACATTAGCAATAAAACAAAAAGGAATATTTTGAAATTATCTTTGTGAAGTGAGGACATCTAGAAACACTTTGAAATTATAATTTGGGTTTTCTTTAATGAATTAGCCCTTAAATATTACCATGGTTTTAATCTTTTTCTTACATTTAATAGTGGATTTATTTCAACAACTCCAAAATCCATTTTTGTAAGCCACAATGTAAATTCCTAAAAAAAAACAATGAGCATGAAATGGACAAAAAATAAAGAACAATTAACCATGGAAAAACCTCATTCTAAACCAACCAAAGATTAAATAAATATACAGGTATAAATTATATGACAGCTTTGTTGCCAAACCTCTTATAAAGGCTTAAATCAGTAATTATAAAGTTATTATCAGTGATAATGAAATGGAAAACAAAAATCAAGAAAATTTTCAACTATTTCCTGTTTTCAATGTGGATTAAAGTCAATAATTTAATCACTTCAAATAAAATATTCCAACCTGTCTAACATTTCAAGGAATTTCCCACAATAGCCATTTTGTTACTTAACCTTTTGCTTAAATTTACATTATATTCTACAAAAATATCTGGAAAGCACATCAAAAAAATCTGCATTTTTATTCACTGCTTAATCAAAAGATTAAAAATTTATTCACAACAGCAGGAGGGAAAAACCTGCTGAACTCCAACTTAGATTAAGGGTCCATTCAATATGCTCTCTACTGATCCTGAAAAGAATACATAAAGGCATGTAAATGATGAAAAGAATGTAATCAATACAGATCAATTTGTCTGCTATAATCTCACTCTCTAGAATAAGTCTTAACTAATTAGAAGTAAAAGCAAACCCTGTGATCTGAGGTATAACTGAAGCATGAATTAACAACAAAGATAAGTCAGAACTTTGAAATAAAAGCATGTGCTACCTGTCCTATTCTGTCCTTAACACCTACTGAGAATTACAGTTTCACATCTTTGACCAATGGCTGTTAGAGAGCCTTTTCAACTCAAGTTAAAAAGCAGGAGAAAAAAAAAGAAAAAAAAAAAAGAACATCCTGTAAAAAATCTCCATGTAACTGCTTCATAAATTTGACCAAAGATATGATTAGAATTTCTTTAAAATAGCCAGAAGTCCAAAATCATGTACTGAATAATTTAAGGGAAACTACGTTCAGAAAAAAATTTAGTGAGTGAATCTAAGTTTTTCAGCTTTTCAAGTAAATCTCAAATTATTAAGTTCACTAGTATAAATTCAGGCTGTATTGTATTATGATAAAAACAAAAAGAAAAGAGACTTCCCATTTCAGGTATTAGCCACCTTGATCTGCACACAATATATCATCAAAATAAAGCAGAAAATATCATTTAGATGTTCTTTGGAAGTCTAAAGAAAAATGTAAGTGACATATTAAAAAAAATAGAAGCAGAATTTTCTCGATTATAATCACTACATTGTATTTTCAGAAGGAATTCTTAGTATATACTCATCTGGTATCTTAACATTCAGACTAGGTGATGACAATTCCTAGAGATGCTGTACACTAAATTTTTTCCAGATAAAAACTGTTTCCGACACACTTCAGAGCACTTTAGAAACATGCTGAACAGAGTAATACAGTAATTCTAGTGCAATTAGAAATCAGCACCTCTACATTTTAGCAGTTCTCTATTATAACACTTAGCTTTTGTTCTGCTCCACTTCCACAAAAGTAATTTTAATTCATGGAAACGTAGCTGTAGTAAGTACATTCATACATGTGCTTTTGCCATTGCAGAAGACAGAATTAACCCAAGATTTCCTATATTTCAATAAAATGATTTACCACTAACAAGTTTACTTTTAATTACTTGCAAGTATTTTCTTAAACATCTAGACAGAAGAGCTGTGTATCTGTGCCCTGAGACAAACAAAACCAAGTTGTTCATTTCTTGTGGTTTTCTAATATTATTACATATCATTATCAGTAATCACAGAAAGCAAAAGCTAAGAAAAGTTATAACCTATTTGTATGAGGACACTAATAAGAAATCTTTGCCACATTACATTTTACCTGCAGTCATTACTGCTGAAAATAAAATAGCCCTAACTTAAGATAGCAAAATTTAAAACAAACAATTTGTTAGCTAGTTCATGCTTATGTCCTAGTTTAAGTACAGATGTAATGTAAGATAAATAACCAATTGCATTCTTACCAGTAACTGTTCTTGGTCTTCCTGGGCATCCTTGTAAGAGGTGGATCCAGACAACCAAGGTGATAATGGAGTTTACAAGTGTCACACAGTAATAGTAGGTGCTGATCATGATTCTTCTTGCAAATTCCACAACTTTTTAATGTAGGCAGTAGAAAAACATTATAATTACATTTGAAATTACAAAGATCAAATGACAGTTTCAGTATCAGCATGTGGCAACCACTTTCACATAAGTGCATAACTATTTTTATGGAACTTCTACCTATATACAGTAAAACCTAAAAGACACCTAATGTAGTTAACAATAAAAAGATCTTCAATCTAATTGTTAAGGACTTTTAACCAGTGAGTAATTACTTGATAATCAGACAAAACATATTAATGGCAAATGGAAAAGAATACTATCTTTACCATCCAAATAATTAAACAGAGAAACTATACCACTATTATCAGTCTTAGTAATCAGACTTATTTCAATAATGCAAAGACCTCAAAACAGGTTTGTGCTGCTATTACACTAGGTAATATACCAGCTAATAGAAAATTACATTTCATTATTATTATTTTAATGGAATTAATATTTTCATTCAATTATTTCCAAAGGATCAGATGTTTATTGATCTCCTTATAGGAGGAGCTAAATCACTAGACTGTGAATGAAACAGAATGTAACTTCCATTGTTTATCTACATGTGTAAAATTGTGAAATCCTCACCCCTCCCACATGTTCTCAAGATTTCAGCCTCTCACAGTACTAGAATCAACTTCTACATCTTCTTCGTTTATCCTAATAGCTGGGCAAGATACTGTTTATATTCTGTGGTTAGAGGAATGACAGCTGCCCTCTCCATAAGCCACTGACTGCCACTTCCCAGCTGGCAGCAAGATAAATATATTCAAGAGTATGTTCATGCTCTGAGCTATCCTAGAATATATACCACCTTTAAGGTTACTTAAAATCTCATCAGTAGCTTTGTAACATACAGCAGGTGAAATAATGTGTACATTAGAATAAGTGAATATTTTCTTGGAAAAAAGTAAAAAAAAAAAAAACAACAACAAAAAAAAACCCACAAGTAGGGAAATTTGAAAAACAAGATATCCCAAAGCATGACAGTCCAAATAAAAAGTAAATAAAAACTATTTTTATATGATAGGTACATTATGCACCCAGCCAGTGACTAAATAGTAGTTCACAAAATCGTCAATATGGGTGATTACGTTGAAAAACACAATACAACCAGTTAAAAATTTTGTATCACGCATTAAAAAAAAGACTGAATCAATTGTAAAGTTACCTTTGTTCTCAAAGCACTGCTATCATGTTAGCAAAGGAAAAGCTCACTGATGTATGCTAAGGGGAATAAATGATTACTTCCTCAACATAGCCTTCAGAAATAAAGCATTTAAGACAATTCTGAAGCATTTTGTTAATCAAAATTTAAACAAACTATTTTCTCTCACTAATTTTTTGAAACTGCAACTTAATAAAAAAAATGTATCCATTCTGTCAAGACTTCATTACTTGCCTATAAAGTACAGCTGGGAGCGTAGATGTCTTTTGTGTTCCCCCTTCCTTTTTACTTGGTTTTCTTTCCTTAGGAGCACGCAAAATTGCAGGTATGTTCAATTTCTATTGGATATGAACAAACACAGTACAATGAGTCTTGGGACTTTTAAAGAATTTCATTCCAATCTCAATACATGAAGAACAGGACTCAAACTGAATGGGAAATGGCTCAGCCAGCTATTTTGCAAACAAAAGCAACTACAGATGTTTACAATACAAATTCATATTGGGGTAAAGTATTATTATATTCATTTTTCAATTCAGTAAGCACAATGAACTACTAGCACTTAAAAAAATAATTTCAAGCTTTAAGACAGAAGAAAGGACAAATATGTATAGGTCTACCAAGTAGAAATAAGGAAAGCAAAATTCACAAAACTGACAGAATAATGGTAAGACAGTTTGCTTTTTACCCAACATTCCTACTACACTGATGCTCAATAGGTTAATTAGAAAAATTATCTTATTGGACCAAGCCTTCCACAAAGCAGACAAGATTCTCTTTGGATTTCTAGTAATCTGCAGTACGCTGGCTTCCCAGACAGCAGCCATCTATCAAAGTCATTTCTCAGCAGCCCCATGGGCCTGCATCTGTTCAACCAACTGGAAAAAAAGTCATGCAAGCTGTGCAAATGAGTTCTACTTTTTTTTTTTTTTTTTTTTTTTTTTCTTTTTGGTAACATTTGCCATCAGGAAATATATCTGTGAATACTTTTTTTCAAACCCATCTTAAAAAGGAGAAAAAAATCCTTATCTAAAAGATGCAATGCAATGTATTGCTTGAAGTATTTTTTTCACATGTAGGAGCAATAGGCTGACCAAAAAGAACAAGAAAAAAAGAACATTAACAAAGTACGAACTAAAGCTCCACAAACAAAGGCTAAGTTTCATTTCCTGAACAGCACCACAAACTAAGCAGTAGCAAAAGTCATCACAAAATTATGTTTATCTGCATTTTCACAACGAATAATTTACTCAATCTTTTTTAAAATTGTAAGAGAAAATCATTTGAACCTCTCTCTGAAAGCTAAAATGTCTACTGTCATTTAATATTTTTTATATCAAACACATAAATACTGTTCTCTCTTTTCTACATCAAAGGGAATCTTTTCTGTATCAAAGGGAAAAAAGATAACTATTGGCAACAGGAAATAATTCAAATCTTCTGTTCTCCTACTTTTTATATTCATTTTACCAAATACTCTACTCTGTCCACTTTGAAAAACAACCACGTACATAGTGTATCTTATATAAGCCACCAAGTTCTCATAACATTTGAAGCCTGCAGTAAACAAAGACAACATAGGGACAAAAATGGTGAGATTAACTTGTGTTTCATGTTCAGATTCAGAAAGATGACAGGTCAATCAGTTCTAACAAACATAAGAATTTTGTAAACAAGATCGCTATTACAACATAATTAAACTACAGATTTCCAGTAGGTGGTTTGCAGAGTCTATACATTTCAATCAGGAAACATTATCCAGAGAATGAAGCCTAGGTCTGATCAAATCAATTTATTTGGCCACAAAAGTGACATGCAGAACCAAAAACGTTCACTCTTGGAAAACTAGGTCCACCTATGAACTATAAAAACAAAATGAAACCAACCTGTCCAATGATTCTACCCAGCAGAGCCCAAATGCCTTGCCCTTCATTTCGTAGTTTTCCATTCATATTTTGTAGCTCTTCCAAAGATTCACAAAGCTGAGCAGTAAAAGGAAAAAAAAAAACAGGAAAGAAATCATTAAAGTACATTTAATAAAATTTCTTTAACTTCTTACCTATCAAAGGTGCATTATTTTATTGGAAAACTGAAAAAAATGGATGCATGTCAAATCACTGTGATTCTTCAGCAACTTAAAATGAAAACGTGGGTAGCCATCTGTTTTAAGACGATGATCTGAAGCATTTTAGCATAAAAAGGAGATTCCATAAATAAAATTAGAAAGTTCAAAATACAGCAGTGTCTCATATGTACTGCCCCTACCACTTAAGCAGCAAAATTATAGCAAGTGACCATCAAAATGATTAAAGTTCTAATTTGCCATACTGAAGAACTTCCACTCACTCTACTGGAGAAACAATTTATTAAAAGGATGCAAAGAGAAAAGGGATATTTTTTTCAGGAAGTAACCATACAGCATATGCAACCTTTTCACGTGGATAAAAACCTCCCTCTTCCAGTCTCCCTTTCCCTTCAAACTCTGCAACTCATATGAGCTTGCTGCTTCATTTAAATACATTCTCATTTAAAACACATAGCTACCAGTTTAAGAGTTAATGACAACACTATATTTTGTTACCAGTAATCACCGGTTGGTCCAATACTGAATGGAGCAAGAATTGTAATGTCATCTGTTACAAAAGCATTCCTATGATCTATTTAAAATATTTAAATGTTAAAGAAATAATTATTGAGTAAAACATGTGCATTAAAAAAAAGCTTTAATTACAACTGCTATGTTAGAAATTTGGGGGGGGAAAGGACTGTAAACCTGTTGTCTCAAAGTCTCAAATGAAATGCATATTAAGAACAAAAAAATGAACAGCCTTAAGATTGCTCTTAGGAGAGGGCTCTGTCTGTGATTTGTTACTGAAACTATCTGTGGGGACAATTAAAGAATCAGTGCACAGGCAATGTTGACTCTGCTGGTATACTGAGATGGGGGGGACCAATAACCACAGAAAATTTTAAGGAGAATATTATAAAACATTACTTTTCTTTAAAGACTGAATATTATCTTTTTCTTTCTAAGACATTCTTTTTGAAAAGTGAAATACTATCAAAGTTAATAGTAGCAATATTAAACAGTACAATGGTTCATTATCCTTTTTTCCTCACCTTATTATACTCCACATGAAGCTTTTCTTGCTCATTTTCTAATTTGTCCTTGATATTCCTCTGCTCAGCCATATTCTCCTGGATTTGAATCATGCGCATATTTCTCTCTATTTAAAAGAAAATTTCTTTATTTTCTAGCCTTGGCTATGTTTTCAAGTTCTACACACTGTAAAAGTGGAGCAACGAAGAGCATTTTTATTTAAAAATTTTAAAAAAACCCACACAGTTATAGGTTTATTACACAGCCTTGGCAGAATGAACATTCCTAACATTTACTTTTTGCTGCATACAATAACCCAGTACAGTTAATAACGGTGATCTCTGATCAGCTAATCCACAGGACAGTCAACATCAAAAACATGCCATTCCACACTAAGGAAAGCATAAAAAAGATACTAAAGGCACCTAAGCTTCCAATCCCCTCTTAAAATTGACACCTCTGCCCGTTTGTGCTTGAAAGATGTTTCTCTTCTCCCAAAATCCTTTAAAAAGAAAAGTCATTAACATTCTGTATATTGGGCAATAAGGTTTCTGACCAAAAATGAAAAAAGAATTCCTATTTGCCTATTAACAAAGAAATACTACAACAAAAAAAAAAAAAAAAAAAAAAGTACAAATACAGCAAAATGATTATTTTTCTTTGAGAAGAATATGCGATTTTGATCCTTACCAAGGTAGTAATTGACAAAATCAGCAGTGAGGGCTGGTTGTTTATGTTTTCTTCTTCCATCAACACTGGAACTAGTATCTGAAGTATCAACTGGAAAAATGTCTGTACTAATTCCCATTAATTCAGCTTTGCGCATAAGCTTGCGAATGGCTGAAGCACTGCTAGTGAGTGGTCGTGGTAGCTTCTCCCTGGGAACCCAGGCCTGTGGCCTGGTGGTACGAGCCAGCTCTGCCTTGGCACGATACTGCTGTAGTCTGGCATTGATTCGAGCCTACAACAAAAACTTCCATGAAATAAGAATTTAAGGGAACAATTCAAAGTCATTTTTGAGCTCCAAAGTTTCTGAAAGAGACTGCATCTTTTTTTCAGTTTAAAAGCTGCAGAATCTAATAAATACTGTTTTAATTACAACATTTTGACTCAAAAAATACACTAACAGACATTTGATTTTACTTCAAAAAGCATATTTCAATAGCATTACCCTTTCACTAGGTTTTAGAGGATTTCACTGATTCCTTGATGACGTTACTTCATTAACATGAATTATTGCTGGCTTCAGACAACCCTTTCCAAAAATGATAATCTGATGGAACCATGAAAACTCACTGGGAAAAACCTTGGCTGACCTGTCAAAAATACATTAAGCATGGCCATCAGGTCGAGGGAGTTGATCCTCCCCCTGCACTCTGCTGTAGTGAAGCCACATATGAAGGCTCGTGTACATTCCTGGAGTCCTCACTTCAATAAAGGCAGGAAACTTCTAGACAGCTCAACAGAGGATAAGAAGGATGATTAGGCATCTGGAGCACCTCCCTTATGAGGAAAGGTTAAGAGACCTCCAACTGTTCAGTGCGGAGAAGACAGAGGGGAGTATCTTACCAATACTTACAAACACCTACTGGATGGGTGCCAAGAGGATGGAGCCAGCCTCTTTTCAGCAGTGCCCAGGTACAGAACAAAAGACAACGGGCACAAACTGGAACACAGGAAGCTCCATATGAGTGTAAGAAAGAACTTACTTGAGAGTGACAACAACAGAACAAGATGCCCAGGGAGGCTGTGGACTGTTCATGTCTTAAAGTATTCAAAACCCACCTGGAAGCTTTTCTGCGCAACCTACTGTAAGGAACCCGCTTTAGCAGGTTAGCTGGACTAGATGATCTCCAGAAGTCCCTTCCAAACTCTGTGACTCTGAGATCTATTTGAGCAGTAAAATTTGGTGAACAGTATTTTTGCCCTATGACATTCTTTTGTAGGAATTCCTTTTTCAATGCCCTCTCTTTTTACAATGTTAAACTAGTTTATTATAATATGCCAAAGCCTTAGCCCAAAGGGAACTGAAATCAGCAGAAGCTCACAATACATGTTGTTGATGACATCTGTACATTTGTGACCATCTGGGAGATCAGACCCAGATCAATCAAGTTGTTGCTGACAGTTGGAAAAAATTGTCTTGTGGGAACTCTATGCAGCAGCAAGTCTGGCAGAAAATGACATCAATATACAAACCTTCAGAGGCTAAGTTTCAGCTGACTATGACTTAGAAGTTGTTCATTTGCCAGTATAAAGAAGCAGCTAACCCAATCTTACTACCCCACCGTATGGTATGAAATACTCCTGAGACAAAAGCAAAAAAGTTTGCATTTCTATATATGCCATGGGTAAGGAACATCTTTGATTACAAACAGCATTGCTTAAGGTTTTGTTAAAGATGCAGTTTAATACATTACCTTACTAGATCTCGAACATTAACGACCAAGAAACACAAGATTAAGTCCAAAATCTTTTATCTTGAACAAAAGCAGCAAGCATTTACCACCTTGCTTTATTCTTCACCAGAACAAACAAGGATGGCTTGGTCTTGATGCCTCTTTACTTGATGATGTGCTCAGTTTGGAAAGTCATGAAGTCATTTAATGTTGTCATATTGTCAGAGCCCAATTCCAGAAATAGCTGACAGATCAGACTGACTAGTTTAAACAAAATTCTTAACAGTAAGAATGTATTTAGGTAATTTTGAATTACATACTTTATACATGTAATGTACACTTCCTTTATTGATATAAAGGAAGTATTTCAACATATAATATTTTCCAGCAATCAACAGTTCTAGACAGATATATAACATAAGGATTTTCCTTCTTTTGGGACACAGGACTTGCCAAACCGTTAGCTCAGCTACTCCTGTGAGGGTTAGAAAGCATCAAGCACCACCTTCTTCTCCTCTTGAAATGTGTCTCAAAAATACACTTTCATAGCAACACACAAGTTATTTGTACAACTGCATACTCATTTACCAATATTTGGAAACCTTACTTAAGCTTTAAAACTCCCATGGAAGTAAGTTTCTTTATGTGTGTATATGCATATGTATTCACATGCAAGATATGATTTTGTATGCACTTTGTGCCAACTTCCCAATCAAACATTTCTGGTATGTATTATGAAATCTTTGGAGTTCTAAAAGTGCATAGGAACTGTTCAATTATTTCATAAAAACTCCATACTCATGGAGTCTTGCTTTGGAAGAAAGAGCAGAAAGAGAAGAAAATGCAGGGAACTTACTAGTATTAGCAGCACTGTATAACAAATGCAGAGCTCTAACCAAAAGCCTAAAAAAATAAAGCAAGTGTGAGCCACACTGGACCCACACTAATTTTGCACAACCAATACCTACCACAGTGATATGAATACTATCCAGCATAATGATGTCTTCACTACATAGTGATATTTCACATAATTGAGACCTGAGAGCGCTACACATTTATGTAACTTGCTTTCAATCATCTCACACCAAGGCTCAATGCCTCACAGAAATATTTTATTCAAAATTCTTCTGCGACAGAGTTTGTTTCAGAATGAATATGAACACATGGATCATTTTAAATTTAAGTTTTCTTTGCCTATTTAAATATCCTTGAAGAACTAGAAATATATACTTTTTTTTTTAAACAAAGATTTTGATAATATGAAAATTTATTTTCTAGTTATTATACAGCAGTTCTACGTTCAGAAAAAGTTTTTTCTCTCCATAATTTCACTCTTCCATTATTTACAAAGCATCTCCCAAGGCCAACAACAAATCAGGCACAATTCCTTCAAGCAACAAGCTGCTTTTCTACATAGCTACTATTTGTCCACAGAGTTCAGTGCAGCCTTCTCAGATAAAGGAAAAAAATAGCTACACACATTTAAACAAACTCAGGTACACAGATTCCCTTGGAAGTACTGAAATCTTTATATCAATGTATACCAGCTAAACTTATGGAATAACAGTTCTGTATGGTTCAGTCAGTAGACAAGGATACAGATATTGCCTTTCAGCTATCTCCTACTCAGTAGTATATATATATATATATATATATATATATATATATATATATATATAAGCTCTACAATAAATGAAAAAGTGATCTAGCAAGGAAATTTTTCACCTAACTGTTCAGCTAATTTCAAAATATTATGACAGAAAACAAAAATAGATTTTCACCGAATAGAAAAAAGCTTTATAAAAAAAAAAAAAAAAAAAAAATCTATGAATCACAATGAAAATGTAATTACCATATTTGGGCAAACAAATACAATTTTTTAATTCAGTTAAGATAGATTCCTAGCTGACAATAAGTTGATTGAAAATAGTTCTCAGAAGCCCAAACCTGTATATAATTCACTGATATGTGAACTACGCGCCATCAATACATTTCACATTTAATTTCCCTTCAACAATAGCAATCACCCATTCTCTTTCTTTCTTGTTTAGCATGGATGATTGATGTAGACACATTTGTGTAAGAAATATAATACCTGAGCTTCTGGCGAGAGCTGCTTTTCTCTTTCTTGCAAGGACATTTTACAGTAAGACTGTAATGCCAAATAGTTTTTCCGTTTCCATTTTCTGTCTAATCTGTCCGCATGCTGTTTACAATAAGCAAAAAAAGGATCAGCTATATCCTGTTTCAGAGAAAACAAAGGAAAAGGAACAAAAATATAAGTTAAGATATACAATGTCAAAAGGCTCTAAAAAGCACAGATATTATGCCAACAGATCGTGCGTTCAAACAGACTTTTTTTTTTCAAGTATGCATGTTTCTACATCAATTCTGTCATATTGATATGGTTTACCATATAAAGGGTCTTTCCATCTTTTTCACTGCATGACCCTGAACATTTTTAAATGCATTAAGCAGTTAGCTCAGTGCTACTTCATTTCTGCACTATTTTTTCATCCCAGAAAAAAAAAAAAAATTGCAGAAAAAAATGCAAATGCATTTCACATATAACATTTACAGCTAACTTCTCACTGCTTCACTGTGTTATCTTTTGCATAAAATCCTGCAAAGGACTGACAACTGAATAATATGAAAGTCAATATATTTCATTTCCTCAAATGACTTTTCAGTGACTTTTGTCTGATTATTAATCTCTCAGATTATTTTTGTTCCAATTTCTACTACTTAGTTCCACCAAATTTGCACATCATAATGGCTGAAAGTTTATAGCAACTTTTAGTATATGCAAACACTGCAAGTAGTTTGCAAATATCTGAGCCAAGATGATATTCGCTTTGAGAAGGTACATTTTATTGCCAGCATATTTTCAAAACTGCTGGAACATCATAATAAATACAAAGATTAAGAAAAACTTGAAGCAGTCTTCCTACATTAGGTAATAAAAATCTTACAAAATAATCAGTCTATCAAACTTTCCTTCACTCCACCTACAACATGCAGAATAATAAAGTCTGTACAGGTTTTCCTTACAAATGTTTATTTTGATTTAGATTCTCAGAGTGCGAACAACTTACTCTAAGAAATAAGCAGCTCCCTCAAATGAGTTTTTTGGGGGTTTTTTTAAGGTCTTGATTAAAAATATTTCAGTTACAGAAAGCGCGTAAAAAATTTAATGGTGAAAATACAAGAAAATATAGATGCCTAGAAAAAATTCACATAGCTTTTGAAGAATCACTGTTTAATATAATTTATTAGGGAAAGGAACACTGAGGTAACTGCAATCTTCCTATTTATCAATCTCACAGATACACACAGTTTTGTGATCTCTTAAAGGGTCACCATTAGGTAGTTTGTTTTTTCATAAAAAAAAAGCTTTAGTGTCAATAGTGCAGGTAGTGCTTATAAGTGTGTTGCCTGTCATACCTCCTAAAGCAATAAGTTGTTAAATTGTGCAAATGTGAACATAACAGGCTTAATCAAAATGATAAAAAACAGAATAAAGTTTGGCAATCAGGATTGTTTTAATTATATTAAAAGGAGAATGACTGGTAAGAGCATGGATTAAAAATGTATCAGGAAGTTATAAATGTTTGCAGTGGATTCAATTTCTTTCTACAAGGAAAGTCATAAACAATTTGAAAGAAACACTGGAAGAAATGCACAAAAAATAGCAATGCAGTTAAATGTCTTAAGACATCTGTACAGTCTTACACAGTCGTATAGTCTATGAAACAGAGAATACTATACTACACTGTGACATGTCAATCCAGGTGAAGTTCAATAAATAGATTTAGAGTTCATCCCTCACTTATCTACACAATATTAAGCTGACTTTTGTATAACATTCTCTATTCCTTTTCCTGTGTCATTTCAAAAGATGGTCAGAGTTGGAGAATTTCACGAACAAAGAGCCCTCTCCGCACAGTTCTTTTCTTTGGCCTACCACTTGACTCTGAAATAGTGAATAAGAAGGGCAGCATTTCAGGTTTTCCTCACAGGCTTTTCATGCAACCCTTTGATTGTATCTTTTCCATAGGTACACCAGAACTACCTCTTCTGCCGCTGCTTCCGAGAGCAGGCCTTCCTTCTGAGCACAGGTCACATGGAAATAAGCTCTGCACATCCCAGCATCACAACTGATGCATACTCCAGTTCTGGCAAAACGAGGATCTTCACAAAAACTGCATTCCTGAATAAGAAAGGGTAGAAAAATGTCACACTAAGTACTGTAGGTGCATTTTGCTTAATATTTCATTGTTTACTTCTTACATAGAGATATCAAACAGGTTATGAGTTAACTCCAGTGCAATACAGGAACCGGGTGTGTTGCTAACATATGACAATATTTAAAGCTTCACCAATACCAAACCCCAACAACTGACCTCATTTTCAAGAAGCAATGGAAAAATGCTTAAACAATCTTAAGAACATATAGGATGAACTTATATCCTCTGGATGACTGAAAGCCATAGATAACTACATAACTTTCTTTTGATAAGCTATGAATCAGGAGCCAGTGGGTGACAATGGATGAAAAAGTAACACAGAAATGTAAATATCAATAAATAAGTTTACAATTCACGTAAGCACAGTATTAAGGTTTTGGCTACATGCATTCTAAGCATAGCTGTTTTCAACACAGCAAACTGTTATCCACTAATGTGGCCTGGAAAAAATATAAACTTAGCCAGATTAGTTCCTTGGTCTGAGTCACCACAAATTCATACTGAACAGCTGTTCCAGCAAACTAAAGCAATGGTGTGTCTAAGCAGGAATAAGCAAATGGGAGCAATGCTGCTATCCAGTGCGTAAAGATGACCTAAAATTACACAGCCATGTATTTCTTAATCTCTCACACGCTGAGTATGAAGCAAAGCTGTGTATCACCTACAGAAATTATCTCCATGCAGATAGTTAAAGAACAACAGAGAGGAACTGCAAATGAAATTCAGTGACAGAACATTCTCGAGACACTGCAGACACTTCCTTAAAAGGCAGTCTATCTGTAAAATAACACATAACAGAAAATAAACTAATTGAATCATAGATTATTATTTTAAACCAATACTCCAGGGGGAAATTCAGCAAAGTAAGCTGTAACTTCCACACTTGATTTGGCAAACAAGGAGAGTTTACAGCTCTGTGAGAGCAGTGAATCCTCATATGCGCAGTTCACTCATCTTACTCAGAGTAAACCTTGCACCTATAATGCCAATAAAAAGAACACGTATGATTCATTGCAACAATAAGGCTGTAAGACTTTGTAAGGAAAAAAAAAGGCGGGGGGGCAAAAAAGCTAGCAAACATTTCTAAGCAATGCTAAATACCCCAGTGGACTCATGTTGACTGTGCTCCTCACACAAAGAAGCACCATGCAGGCCGAAGTGCTTTCATTTATCTTTTAAAGTTTCTGTATTTTTAAACGGTTATTACATATTCTAATTTAGTATTCAGCTTGACAAACTGACACCCTAGGAAATTTACAATGCATCAATTAAGCATTAGAGAAGCAGTAGCACAGCTATCTTTCCTTACATTAGCCCAGCAGATATAGATTCTCTGCAATGTTTCCAGGGTTATAGCAACAATATCAAGCAAATTAGTGTCGGTCTTTGCCATTTACAATGACTTTCTGTATGTTTTGTGTATGACCACCTTCGACCACAACTGAGCATATTTTTATGTAAAAAAAACATTTTAATATTACAGACAATTTTCCATTCAGGTTTAGAGTCCCATACTCTTATGCTGTTTTCATGCTGGTGGTGCAAGGAGGTTAATATTGCTTTCTAGCACCCCTATGCATTCTAGTTTATGATTACAAAGAACTTAAAGTAGTTCTTACTGAATATACATCTGTATCTTTCTTAATCCTCAAATCCTCCACCTCAATTTCCTTTCCTTCATTTCACATCCCATAAATCCTCTTCTCTCTCCATTCACATTTTGGCAATCTGCCACTAACTGACTTTAAAAGAAGGTAACTGACACCTGTGTAAAAAAAAAAAAATAAGGGAAACTGAGAGACAAAGAGCAATAGAAATTACAGAGAACAACAATAAGGGAAAAAAACAGCTGTAAGAAAAAAAAAAAAAAGGAGGGATGAGCAAAATTACAGGAAACATGAATTTTATCACATTTTCCTTTCTAAATCTCACTGCTATAAACACAAAATAAGATTGAAGACATGTTATTTCTATGTAAAAATGTGAAATAAAGCTACTGGTAAAGAATATGAATCTTCTTAACTTACCTTGGCACCATACTTTGAATAATTCATTTCTGTAAGCGTTACTGGCCGCAATTTGTCAATATCTCCAAATGCCACTCCTGGAACGTAGAGGGCACAAACAATATGGACCCACCTAAAACAGCAAATAAATTTAGGTTACTGTTATCAGTATTTTGTTCCCATATTACGCTCATCATTTGCAGATTTTTAAGTACTGTGTAAACGATACAGATGCTAGAAAAAGATGATCTAAGTGAAAACACATTAGAAGCAGGGAGGGAATGTGCATTTGGAATTTAAAAGCTAAAAACGAATAGCAGCAAGTTTTTGGTACAACTGTGATTGCTTTGCTTGTCTGGATCAACAAGATTACCCTCACATTCTGTTCTGATGATTCTTAAGTAATGTTTCACATCACTGTTTATGCTGCAGGAAAAGTATATTAAGATTTTGACATTACCTACAAAACCTAGACAGACCAATAGGGTGAGATGGTGGAAGTGAAGATTGGAGCTACAAATTCATACAGGTAGTAAGATAAAAATTCCTGTAACATTAACAACTACCTACAAGTCATTAACTCACTTCATTCTAAGGAATGCTTAGTAAATCTAATCAAAGCCCTAGCACCAATCAGTTCATTCTGTTGTATTCCACAAGGCTCAAAAAAACATCACAGAATCACAGAATGGCCAGGGTTGGAAGGGACCTCAAGGATCATGAATTGCCAACCCCCCTGCCACATGCCGGGCCACCAACCTCCCCATTTAATACTAGACCAGGCTGCCCAGGGCCCCATCCAGTCTGGCCTTAAACATCTCCAGGGACAGGGTATCCACAGCCTCTCTGGGCAGCCTGTTCCAGCACCTCACCACATCTTCATGAACGCACAACCTATTCTTTTCACAAAGAAATCAAGATACTACTTTTTAATTTTGCCCTCCAAAAATGCCACATGCAAAATAAGATCTGTACCCTTGAAATACAGAGATCACTCAGATGTTAATAAAAGTCTTGTAAATTCTGTGAGGCTTCTTTTCTACATACCTCCATTGATTTAAGATGCTTTAAATTAATTTGCATAAAAGGAAGTTACACATACAATTACTATTCTTAAAATAAAAAAAAAATAAAAAAAAATTAAAAAAAAAAAAACAAGGCTCTGGTTGAAGGTTTTGATAGTAAGCTGAGAATACTGGTTGCCTTAAAACTTACCCTCCAAAGTTCAGTGTAAAGATACACTTTTCTACAAGCATCTGCTTGTCAATTTAACTTGCACAGTTTTTTCATGCTCCAGTAGTGTATTAAATGCTGCTACACTCAGTAGGAGTTTATCTATGGTAAATCCAATAGCTGGCTACTTACTTCATATTGACCTTCTCAAAATGTTTTAGTACACGTCACCCAAGTATTACAGTATTACAGATGTAAACTGCCATTTTGGTGTGATTGGCACACAAGTACCTCACTCCATTAGTCACCTTTACGAGAACTCAGCCCTGAATCTTTACTAAAAAACAAAGAAATCAGTCAAGTTCTCAGCTGAAGCAATTTCAGCTGCTTTTAATACCAGTTCTAAATATTTTCCTGCTCATTTGTTTAGCTGCACATGTTTTAGAAGATTGTAATTAAGACAAATTGGGTAATCAAAGAAGAATAATCTTCCTTATTACTTTACCATCCATTTTGCTTGGAGCAATGATGACAGATGTTGATTTGGGAAGAAGAAAAACTCTACACCATAACAAGAACAGAATTCATATTCTTGGTTAATAGCATTTTGAGAAATAAAATTTCATAAATTCACATTTATGTTCATGAAACTGAGAGGTTAATGTGAAAAGGCTTCTGTGAGAAACTAAGCACATAATTATTCTAATGATTCATGTAGGAACAAAAAAATAATTCTAACTTGATTATGAAAGGAAACTGAATAGGTTTGGTTGCGCTTTACTGCAATTTCCAGCCAATGATGCATATAAAGAAACATAGCAATGGACGTAGCATACATCCTTAGCTTGCATTGTCCCATTTCCTAAAGATTTCAAATTTATTAATGAGCAATAGAAAAAAAGAGAGAACAGTATTATTTACATTGGCTAGCATTGTTTTTTTTTTTCTAGTACATGAACCTACCCACCTGTAAGTAAACCTCTACTTACTCATGACAATATATCATGTTACCCAAACAGAAAAATACAATAGCAGGGATAATAAACTGATACTTTACTGTCCACAGTCAACCAAGCAGGCATGTGCTTTTGCATAAAGTATCAGAATCACAGATAAAACACTTCTATGTCAATCAAAAACATGCTGCCATTTTATAAGAAGCAATAATGTTTAAAATGTTGTGCAATTTATATTACAATTATATGAGAAATTAACTAGACAGCAATTAAACTACCTTAAAAAATGCAGGAGGAAAAAAAAAAACCCTGAAACATATATTTCCAAGTGATACTAATTCTAGTCCTACCAAGTTGTCAGACAACTGATTTCAGTCTCTAGTAACATTTTGTCCACACTGTAACATTATGAAAGTAAAAAAACTGTTTAAATTAATTGTAACAGTTACACTAGAGCAGCTCCAAAAGTAACACCTCCTGTTTTATTATGTTGGCCCACAATATCAGAAGTGGATATTGGCAGCAGGGCAGTGGAACCCAACCCTTAGGTGAATACATTGTTACATTTTATCTTGTGCAACAGATGGCGGTAGAGGGGCAGTCTGACACGCATTAGAGGCGAAGGTGCATTACTGAATTTCTCTGTGCGGAAGAAATGGCACCCATTATGCATCAATGCCTGCCTAACGTTTGTGGAGACCAACTAGTGGATGCTAGCACAGTGAAGCAGTGGGTGGTGTTTCAGCTATGGCAACAGTGGGCCACTTCCACTGGTACATAATTTTACAAGTACAGCATGCAGGCTGGTCTCCGTTGCTGGATGAGATGCATAGCTAAAGGTGGTGACTTTACTAAAAAAAAAAAAAAAAAAAAAAAAAAAACTGTTTTGTAGCTGAGAATTTTCTCTATCAAGTAGTGTTACTGTGTTCTCTGTATCTGTCGTAATTTCCATGAAAATCAATAGGAGACATTACTTCTGGAGCAAACTATGTATAAGAAAGATGGACTAATCAGAAATTGAGGACTGGAATCCCAAAAATTCTTTAAAACAAGCACAACTTCAAATACACTGCCAAGATTATTCACTGCAAATCTTGACTCATTTATAGAAATTCCCACCACTAACAGTACATTATTTTCTTGTATTTTCAGCGCTCCCCCTCATAAGATGTATGTAGAAGACACGGATTGAGGAAAAGATTTAACAAGTGTATCTGTAAGACACATCTCAGCTACAAATTGAGAAGCTGAAGTCCAATGCAGGAAGGTAGTTGCTCTCCAAAGATGATGTCAAACAAAGCTTTCCAAAATACCATCCAGAGCTCTGCTGATCTTTTCAGGAGGAGAGGATTTGTCCATTACAGTCCCAGCAATAATACAAGTTTGTGTAAGACATGAATGGGGAAAAAAATGTTTTGGCTTACATTACAAGACAGTTAAAGTCATCAAAACATGACTCCTTGTGTTTGTACAAAAAACAGTAAACTGTGAAGGCCATTACAACCCAGTAGATGGAGAAAGACCAAGGATATGGTTATACTTCGCTATTTGCTACTACCAAATATGTTGTACCATAACATATAGCTTCACGTAAATGGTCATGTATCTTTTGGTTCACACTGAATAACATGAAAGGGCTGAATTTTAAAACATTTGTACTAATACCAGAATTCCTTCCAATTCAACCACAATCGTCAGTAAGATGTCTGCAGACTTCTGCAATCCTACATATCAAGCCTGAAAGTTTCATATGTCGCTGCAAACCTGCAATTTACATAATTGTAAAATGTATGGAAAAATAACTTAATTGCTGTGATCTAAATAATAATATATTCATCAACATTAGCAAAAAAACAGACATAATTGATAACTCTGCTCTTCTCTTTACTGCAGAAAATAAGTTTCCATTAACACTCATGTATTAATTTATTTTTTAAATATAAAGAAATGGAAGATATTGCATGAGAAAGATCTACTATATCCAGTAAGACATCTCTACACATACATGGTGATTTCATGTTGGGTAATAAGTATTACCACTTCCTGAAGTGGTGCCATATTGCTTTACTTAGAAAATCAACATCTATAGCTCATACATCAATAAACCATCATGCTCAAATTCAGTTTAAGACAACATCTTCCCAACTAGTGTGAAGAATATTAGGTGTGCAAATAAAAAAAAAAAAAAAAAAAAATTGGGTGACTGCCTATCCAGTGAGCACCCCACTCTAAAATGAACTGAGAAAAAGAATACTAATAGCTTAATTTATGACTCTTTTGCCTATAGGAATAGACTAGAGCAAAATCCCACCTTTATGACTCTTTTGCCTATAGGAATAGACTAGAGCAAAATCCCACCTTTAAATTTAAGCTGATATCAATTTAAAATGGCACTTCTTCAGCCTTACCTGCCTGCATCTGTCTCCTTGAAGATCCCATCTTGGTTAGGACATAGTTCACAACTAGGTGTGACACCACATTTGCATGCATCACAAAACCAGGGTTCAGTGGAATTTTCTGAAGCTGAGCTCATGATAGAATCACTCTCTCCATCAACACCATAGCAACCTTCACACATAAAAGAAATGGAAGAAAATATAAGGAAAGACAAGTAGGCATACAGTTCTTAGTTTATAATTTTCAGCAGGAAATACAGACACACACACACACAGTTTAATGACAATGAAAATCCCAAGAAAGCATCCAGTATTTTCGCAAGAGTAACTTCAGTGCAAAACTTCTATTTTCACAGAGGCTCTAATTCTAAAATGTGATATATTATATAGGAATGTCTTAGATTGCAATCAAAAAATGAAAGGAAAAGGTTTACTTTACTCTGTTCTTTCAGCCTATTCATTATGAAGTAAAAATCTAAGACTTAAATGAACCCACAAACACTGAGCAAGAAACAAAGCACTTTTTTCAATTAAATGCATGTATTTCAGATTAAATATAACATCTGAGGAAAAATTTAAGAAATTTTATAAAATACTGAAATATGTTATTTCTTAGTGTCTTTAGACAATTCTCAGTCTATTTATTATCCTGTTAGATCTTTTACATGTCTTTCCTCCACTGTGGCAATTCTAGAGCTTCTGCTTATCTACACGTCTTCTTGTGCAGCCTGGAAACTTTACTTTCAGTTGAATTAACAGTTTTACCAAACTATAACATGGTTTCTAAAATTCTCCAGTACTAGCAGCATGTCATGAATCCATGTGTATCATTGAGTTAAAGGTTTGAGAGCATGTCCAAGGTTCAAGACATTCCTATCTTTCTCCCTCTCATTACCCTCAATTAAACGTTTTAGTTGTCTTTTTTTTTTAAACGAGTTGATCATGCCAGCAGTATGCAGACAACAAATATCCATTCCACTTTTATGCTTCACATTCAATATCTAATTCAGCAAGAGAACATACACATTATGAAAAACCAAACGTATTCTAAAAACCCCTGAAGCATAAATCTAAGACCTTTTGTAACTTTAAAATCAAAGTATTGTTTGACAAGCACAGATTGAGTTTTGACAGACCGTTTCACTTAAAAACGTTTTTATATATTCATCAATCATCATCACCACTTTTAGCTGGTTTTAAATTATGATTAAATTCATCGTGTCTCAATTCTTTTTTTGGTATAGTCAGTGTAGTCAGTGTATTTTTATGTTTTTAAGGTGTTGCTGCATGCTTAATCACCATAAGGTCAGGAAAATTTTCCTTCAAAATGATTTAGAAGCTTGTTACTTCAATTTTGGACAAATTTGGACAAGAGTAAGAGTGCTATTACTACTACTGCAAATGACAAAGAAAACTCAAAGCTTATCACCAGAAAACTATACTTCTGCATATGCCACACTGAATATTTATCTGCTGCTCAGTGAGGAAAAAAAAAAAAAGAATTTCACTGTCAACATCAAAGCAGAGACCTTACTGAAAGATTAAATTCAGTTGTTTGCCAGATAAGAATGATCAAGTAGCAATTTTGCTTGCAGAGCAATTAAATCCTTTAATTTTTATAATTAAATAGAAATGTAATTTATTAGTTTGGTTCTCTACTGACTGTAGTAAAACAGCAACAGCGCTCTAACCCTCTTTATGACAGCAACAGAGATAATAATGTAAAACTATACTCAGAAAGTAATCAGAAACACTATAGGTACCATTTAAGAAATACAGTCCTCCATTACAGCATGGAGTTCATCAATAAATACTTAACTAAGACAAAAGTATGTTCTGTTTTTTTTTTGTTTGTTTGTTTTTAATTAGAAGTATTCCAGAATCAAGAAATAAATAATGCTCAGAAGTGCATCCACAGACAAGTTGCATTAGGTATACAAAATACCATCTAGCTCACTTGTAAACTGATTCAAATTTCTTTAGCATCCCAGTAGCTTTAAAGAGCATTGCAGATAGCCTTTTTTTTTTTTTTTTTTTTTTAAGTTGTAATGCCACAGTGTTGAATAACTGCCAGCAAAGCACCTTTTAAACAATTACATTAATGTACAAACACAAAGCCCACTGATATCATATAGCTGATGAAAAATTTAGACTTTGAGAACAGTCTGTAGACTTTAAAAAAAAAAAAAAAACATTTCCCTAAATAAATTTATTAAAAATTACGTAACACTACAGGAGGAGAAATACTGTCATCAGTCAATACAGCAAAATAAGATTAGTTTCTTCCAAACAGTGACTCTTCTGCAATCAAGTGTAATTACATTTGCTTTTCTAAACAAAGCATCATCAGTCTACTAAAATTACAATGGTGTCGTATCTTCACTCTGAAGGATTTGCCAGTTACACTTATCACTCAATTCTAGCTAATATTTTGTTCCTTTTTCCTAGAAAACTTCAACATGCATTAGCTGTAATTATTTCCACCCTTATCATGTATGTTGACATCAAAATTGTTTTTTCTGTAACACCACAAATCTAGGTCATTTTCTCATGAGGATTTATAACTCAAGTATTTTTTCCTAATTCACACAACTGTCTTAGTGACAGCTTTAAAGACTTCAAGATCTCTAACAGACACAAGGAGGCATTTAGTCTTTTCCCTGTCATTCAGCAAAACCTAAATATACTGTTACAAGCAGCAAAAGTGATGGTCATTAGCCAGAGAAAATACACTGGATTTCCAGTAAGGGCTGACATCCTTGTTTCAGCTGGGACAGAGTTAATTTTCTCCCCAGTAGCTGGTACAGTGCTGTATTTTGGATTGAAGATCAGAATAACATTGATATTATACCAATGTTTTTATTATTAGAGAGCAGTGCTTACACATAGCCAAGGACTTTTTACTTACTCATGTTGTCGTACCAGGAAGAAAATGGGGCTGCACAAGGAATTGGGAGGGGCCAGACCTAGTATTGCTGATCCAGACTGACCAAAGTGATGCCCTATACCATATAATATCATGCTCAGCAATAAAGCTGGAGGAAGGGATGGCCAGGGTGGGTACTGCTGCTGCTTGGGGGCTGGCTGGGCATCATCAGTTGGTGGCAAGGAATTGCCCTGTGCATCACTGTTTTCTATATTCTTTTATCAGTATTATTTTCCCTACCTTTTCTATCCTACTAAATCACCTTTATCACAACCCACATGTTTTAACTTTCTATTCATTAATTTTCTAATTCAATCATTCCTTCAGGAAAGAGAGGTGAACAAACAGCTGTGCAGTCCTAAGCTGCCTGATCTTGTCTAGAAGAGCTGAAGGAAAGGAAATCCAGCAAGAATGCTACTGGCTTCTAAATAAAGTAAATACTACACAAAATAGTAATGATATTATTTGACATCAAGATGATAAATGTACAGGAAGAGCTGTAACAATTTTTTTTATTTTTTAAACAAGAAACAACAAATCCCCTCAGTTTTACTTCAGTTGACATAAGAAAACAAAAGCACAAAACCCTACTGGAAATGTATGGACTGGGCTAAAAATCTCAATTTCAGCTTAAGTAAAAGCCAAACAGCTGCAAACTCTGTCAAAGGTAAAGAAAGCTGCTGAGTAGCAACAACACTTAGAGAAAAACATTCCTCAAGGTTTCTCAATATTGAGTTCATATTTTCCTCTTGCTATCATTAGTTGTAATAGTAACTGTGAACTGAAAGCCTAAATTGATCAGATTAATACTACTTTTTCAAAACAGTTAATGGAATGTTATATGCACACAAACTGTGTACTATTTATCAAGTACATACAAACAAGTAAATATACTAAGCAGGATTCATCAATTAACACTGATGAAAAAGATGGATTTGCAGTCCTAAATTAAACCACACTTTTAATGACTGTCAATTAATTTCAAATAACAGTTTAACAACCATCCTAAAAGACATACATCATTTTTTAAGTTGAAAAAATAAAAAGTGTTTTCTACTGCAGAGCTACAACACAGTTCGTATATTAAAATCAGACGGTACAGAAAGCATTTGATTAAAAAAAAAAAAATGTCCTTTTAAAAGATTCTCAGTGCCACTTTTATGTCTCTTTAAAATGCATAGGCACACAAACATGAAACTGAAGCTGCTGGACAAGACTTTCCAAGCTTTTTCTTGAACATTTACTATGATAAGCATGACAAAGCTGTTCTAGCTGACCCTTCTGTACTAACTGTTGGGAACTGTGGTTTTTGAAACAGAAAGCAATGTAACAGCTCACTACCACTGTATCTCAGAAGCAACATTAGGAGGTAATCTTCCAGGTTCTTTCTCAATGCAGCACAGTTGTTTAGGTGGTGTAACTAGCTTGGGATTGAAAGGCTAACAACAAAAAGATAATTCTTGTAATGAAAACTATAGGATTCATTGGAGTTACTGCATCTGGAATCTAGTCAGCATTAAGTGCACCATCTACCCCTTTCACCTGAAACTGTACTATAAAACCCCCAACATTTTAAACACTTAACTGAAAATGCATACTGTTTTTCCTTACTGTTCATAGAATTTTGGTTCTTTGGACTATGAGAGCATCTTCTCAATCAGTGCTCATGAAGTGCCCATGTTTAATATAAGTAATCATTATTCTGTCACTCAATGTCTGCCATTTCCTTGAAAGCTTCTTGCACTGAACAATAAAGCTATATGATAGCAAAGCCCATGAATTTAAATATATGAAATAGTCAAGAAGTTGAAATTCTCCTAGCATTTACTCTCCCACAACCTGAATCTACATATTATGACTGCAGTTGTCTACTGAACATAATTTCATACATAAAACTGAATTTCCTGAATTTAAGTCCACCGCATACTGTCATTAGCTTGTTTTTATGCATTATCATTAAAATGAAATTACAAACACTTTAAGATGCTAGCATTAAGCAAGTGTCCTGAAACATATGTCACTGAGGGAAAAGGGAAGAGAGAACCTTCTCTCCAAGGATAATCTTTTGCCAAATTGAATGTCTGCATATGCTAACAACAGTCACGTATACTTCAAATCCTGATCTAATTATAAAGTTCATGAAAGCATGAACTTTGGTGAACTGTAGGTTTTCAAAAAGAAAAGCTGTGAGATGATAATATTACATTCAGTCCTTAACTGGATCAGAAGTTTAAAATAAAGACATTAACCATGCACAATAAGACCATTTTTATTTAGATAAGGGAAAGTACTAGAGTACATAACAAGACAAAAATGAATGTTTACATCAGACGTAAGCAATCAAAATTAAATAATAAGCATCAAAATTAAAGCACATGTAGACCACACTACTGCTTCTAGCAAGTTAAGCTTTATTTCCCACCATATCCACCATGCAAAAGTTTAAAAAAAAAAAAAAAAAAAAAAAAAAAAAAAAAAAAAAAAGGGATGGAAAAGTAACAGCTAGAAAAAAAGTGGAACTTCTCTTTCTTGTTTAATTCCCAGCAAATAACACAAAGGCAATAGCTGGCAAGCATACTATCTACAGTTAGTTCATATCTTATGATATGCATCAGACATTCTCTTCAGACACACTGTAATCAATATGTCATGGCAACTGACATCACAGTTGGGGGTGTCCTGCTACTACAAGATCTTACCACAAAAGCATTTATCCAAAGTGACAGAATACTGCCTGAAGATGATTTTTTTTTTTTTTTTTGGAAAAATGAGAATTATTTGCATGCTGAAATAAATACACAAGCAACTGTACAACTACAAATTCAAGGAATTGAACCACAGATGAGTACATGAAAAATACTGTTTTGAAACCATTTTTAAGTGTGTGAAAACAAAAGCAGAATAGCAGATAAGGAAAACCATTTCCTACATGAAAAGTCATGCACCAGTGAACAACTCCAACAAATTTTAAAAAGGCATAAATTACACAGATTATATAAATATAATTCACGCCTTTGAAGAATGAGAGTCTACCTTCTTTTAACTTCAAGGATTAAAAGTAGCCTATCTTATTTAAAAGGAGAATAGTACAGGATGGCAGAAATAATAAAAAGTTTTCATTAAAAAGAAGAATACAGAATTTAAATTTCAACAAAAATATGTATGCCTATCTATATTTTTATCTACTTTATCTTCCATCCTCAAGAGAAAGAGCAAAAACAATCAGTCCCATCTTTCCTATAAGGACCATTAAAGTTCCACATGCTCATCTCATGATCACCCAGGAAGCGCTCCTTTAAAAAACATCAGTGAAAACTTGACTACAGAAACCTATTTTTCTCATCTTTTGAGATCATCTTTTAACTTACCAGTATATCAACAAATCACAGAAAATTGCAACCAAGTTAATACTTCAGAACAGTATTCACAGCAAATATCAGATCATTTCTCTTAAACCCTCCCCCATACACTGTAGGAAAGACCTCCTACACTTAATATAAACATCTACTAGATGCCAAAGCAATTAGCAAATCAACAATTTAAGTATATTTTAACTTTAAAATTGCCATTAAAAATTAGAGGCCAAGGCTAGCTGCCACATTCAATTCTTTTCTCATCTCTCTGCCTCTTTAATACAGCAAAAATACATGCATAAGTCCCTTTCTCCTATGAATTCTCCTATTCTCACTATCTTCTACCCAATCATGCAATCAAATTTGCATACTGAAATAGACAGAATTTCATCTGATATTAAATCCTAAAGTCTCGAAAATACAATCTACAGTCAGAAGCATTAGCAAAATGTCATCAATTTCACAGATATACATAGACCATGACCTATCCTGTACTTGCTTGTATTAGCTTTCCTAAAATAGATGAATGCAATACTACAAAGAATCCATGTGGCACTACAAAAAATTACTCACCAGAGTTCAAAGGCTTAATTTTTTTTTGAAGCAAGTAAAAATTTTAATAGAAGTAAAGCTTATGCTTTCTTCATGCATTAACAATGAAGGAATTGTATTACCTTCATGCACTGTTATTCCACAGTTGTCACATTGGATTATTTCATCAGCATCTTCACTGTTATCTCCAAGACAAACGCAACAAATCAAAATATGGTCCATTTTCTGGGAACTCCAATTTTGGGACTTCTCAAGGATCAAGGAGTCCTAATATCAAAAAATGAATGCACATGAATTACAACAGGAACTTCAATTTTATGTAAAACAGAAGAACTGTTATTTGTTCAATTTTGTGGAAAAAAGAACGAAAAGCCTCATGCACTTCTTGTCAAAACATTCAAACTCTTCATCCACAAAATTAAAAGCTGGAATGGATACAATCTGATCTTGCTAGGTTTGTAGTTCTGGTTGTACTGAAATTATATATTTGACACTAACAAGGAACACAACAGAAAGCCATCTAAAAAGGAAAAGAGGACCACCAAAAAAAAAAAAAAAAAAAAAAAAGTGACCTTCAATATCCTAATATTTAGAAAGGAAGATTCCCTTTGTTGGAAAAAAAACAACAACAAAAACAGACAAAAAACCAACAACCTTTCTGTATTGTTGTATTAAAACTTGAAAAAAAAGAGCTAACAAAAGCCTGATGAGTCTTCACGTAAATAAAGTGTAACAACTTACTGACTCAGTTGTTTTATTTTGTTACATGCAAATGTATATGCCTCTATGCAAAACTGTATGATATATTAAAACAATTCATTTTCTTTTATAGGATATGCATGGAAGTCCAATGCTCATTTCTGCAACCTTCAATGTGTATTACACTACTCAAAGAATTCCCTTTTAAAAAGGAGTTTCTTTAAGGAAACAAAGCAGTACCTCACAAACCAAATAAAGTTGGATGTGAATTTCCATTTCTTCCATAAACACCATGACCTCAGCTTCTTATTATTTCAGTGAGCTATACTGACTGTCTCTTACACAAAAGTTTCATAACTTATGTAATTTTTCTTCTTTCCTATACTAAAAGCAAACAGAGTTTGGACTATCTTCGCTGGTGATATGAAGGCTTACAGGGACTAGACGCACAGCTGAAAGAAAAAAGGTAGGAAAAAGAAGAAATTAAGACTTTCAGAGCAGAGGCTGATAGTTCAGGGCTAAATGGCATCCATTCAACACACAAAAGGCCTGAGAATATTACAAGAGTATTAAATAGGTGGAAAAAAAAATTAAGGTGGAAAGTTGCTTTTCAAACTTTTTTTTCCTCTTTCCACTCCATTCCCCCCATTAATGAATAATAAAAAAAAAAAAAAAAAAAAAAAAAAAAAAAAAAAACACAGTACCAATACAGCGCTTCCATATCCAAAGCAGATAAAAATTATTATGAATGGTAAGTGAAACAGATATTCCTTCTCAAAGATCCTAAATTCTTTCACCAGTCTATGCAATTATTACTCTATGGTAGTCTGTCAATCTGATACAGTCTCTGCTCTGCTCAAAGTTTTCAATGAATCACTGATTAAGCCTTTCTGTATTTCAGGTTTATCCAGAGCAGGTATTTGGAGGGTGGCAGGGATACCTGTGGTTTTTCTAGCCAATTTCAACTGGCTTATTCCAAATAGAAGTGGCTTGTTAGAAAGCTGCAGAAAACTGCAAAGATACTTCTAGTTTTGGAATCTCCTATCTATATTCCCTGAAGAAAAGAAAGATGGCCTACAAAATACAAACTAAAAAATTCCACCTCATCCAGAGGTAAAAAAAAAAAATAATTAAAAAAATAAAAAAAAAAATGAAAGACAACATAATTGTTCATAAGATCATGTTCTTCCCCTAATAAATACAGGCTGACTAAGCATTTCTTCCATCTTCCTTTTAAGAGGAAACTATGAAGTACTTTGAGTCAAGCAAGAAATTTGCACGTATTTGTCAAAAATATTGTGTCACACCATCACACATAATATACACAGTTCAAATAGGAGATACTCCCTAACTTTGGCAGATTAACAGTTCAGTACCACCAGCTTGTTGGAAGCATCTCACATGCCTCCAGAAACCAGTTTCTTCTGACTATACCTTCAACTTAAATTATTACTTGGCTTCATTAACATAAACTTAAAATTAATTTGCAATTTCTCCTGTCACAGAAGTCCAAAGTCTAGTAACTAAAAAAAAAAAAAAAAAAAAAAAAAAAAAAA